TCTCTCTTTCTCTCTCTCTCTCTCTCTCTCTCTCTCTCTCTCTCTCTCTCTCTCTCTCTCTCTCTCTCTCTCTCTCTCTCTCCCTCTGAAAATCTTATTATTACCTATATATATTATTTATTTCTTGTAAAATTACCTCTTCTGTAAAGATCTCTGGCGGTCTCCTTGCCGATTCCAGTATTCGCGCCCGTTATGACTACCGTTTTACCCATAAGACGTGCTTTGCTGGTGCATATACTGCTGAAAGGCCACATGTTCGTGGTAAATGTTTCACGGCTTCACTTACATGCGTTCTTCTCAACTGTTTGCGCACGACTGCAGTATAGCGACCTGATTCAAAGTCTCCGTACCGACTCGGTCAGCTTGGTCTTTAGAAAGTTCCGTAGGAACTGATAGAAGATTTTGTAGGAAATTCCGTAGGATATTACTGAAGTGTAATTGCTATATGTGTAATATCTTTCGCAAAGCTTCCGATTAATTTGATAAGTCAAGCTCTGATAAGTGAGAATAATTTTAAATATGAGTTAACTTTCACATAAATATCGTTTCGATAAATTTATTCGTCTAACTACTCATTTAAATTTTTTTTAATTATTTTTTAATATGATTGAAATATTATCTGTAACAATAAAATAAGACTCAATCTAACAATTACACTTCTTCGAACAACTTTCTTACTTACAAGCTATATTGAAAAAATAATATTTTTGTTTATATTTTGATAGAAATAACGCTTAAGTCAGTTTGACTTTTATTAACCCATTTCGACAAGCCTCTTTATTAATATAATATTTTATTAAAATATTATTTTATTTTCAAACGATAATTAGTATAATTCTATGTAAGAATGAAAAAGACATTTGAGAATGCTATAAAAAACTTGAGTGAGATCACTGTTTGGATTCATTATCAAGGACTTCTCGCATTCTATCGTCGAGCAACATAATTCACGGACGAATGTCAGAAGTAGGACGCGGTGAAAGTACAGAAATAATATCGTAATTATATTGTAATTTAGAGAATAATATCACAAATTTAGAGAAAGTATAAAATTACAGACTGCACGTTTTCAAAATCAAAACGCACTGGAAATGTGGTTCCCGTCAAGTATTATAAATTAAATATATTTTTCTAACTACTTTGTCATTGCGTATTCTACTTAGAATTGCAACATAAAATTACAATGCTAACAATTACAAGCACAATTCCAATGCTAACGATAGCAATAAAAAATAACTCGTTTTAATAACTCGAGTGACTTTAAAGTTATTTGCATCATTCTGAATTATTCTGAGTCATTCCGTTTATAGAATGAAAAAAAAGTTCTCTCATTCTTCGTAAAGTTTTATGCTTTCCTCTGCATTGACTGAAGTCATAATTTTACTCAGATAAAACTGTTGCGTGCAATATAAATATTACATGGTTGCTACTGTATGTACAATTACAGCGCTTGTAAATATACTAATAAACAAGACGGCGGTTTTTTAATCTGCCTATTTGCACGAATCACATTAAAATCAAATGTAAAAAATGTCGGATTTTTGGATTTTGACATCGATATCTAACGAGATTGATTCTTATTAATACTTCGTATAACTATTTTACAATGCATTTCTTTTCCTCTCTATCTCTCTCTTTGAAAGCTTTATTATCGTCTATTGTTTATTTTTTGTAAAATTATCTCTTCTATAAAGATCCATGGCGGTCTTCTTGCCGATTCCGGTATTCGCGCCCGTTATAATTACCGTTTTACCTACAAGACGCGCTTTGCTAGTGCATGTACTGTTGAAAGGCCACATGTTTGTGGTGGATATTTCACGACTTCACTGACGTGTATCCTCGAATGCATTCTACCCAACTCCTTACGCTCAATTACAGCGCAGTGGTCTAGTTCAGAGTCTTTGCACCGACTCGGTCAGCTGATTTCCCACCACTTGAAAACCAAGGAACGAATAATAACTCAGAATTAAATATTCAGAATTAAGAGTTATTTTATAAACTTTCGATTTCAGCTAGTCAAAAATTTTGAGCCCACTTCCCTCAACAGGAATTTTGAATGCAGACTGAGTGAACGTTCATTCAATCCTTCATCTGGAAATCAAAATTCCTGCTCAGGGAAATGAGTTCAAAATTTTTAACTAGCTTATAAATAACTCTTAATTCTTATCTAGTCATTTTTTGGTTTTCACATTGGAGAAGAAGAAAAGGTCAACTGCACAGGAATGCTCGGTCAATTTGCTTGTTACAAAATTACGTACGAAAATTGCGGAAGTAATATCTTTCAAAAAACTTACAATTAATTTGATAAGGATTAGTTTTCCATTTTTCCTCCATTTCAACAGCAGCTTCAGTTAGAATCTTGCAAAGTTATTTAAATGGTTAGTTTAATAGGAACTTGGTGGATAAAAGTGGTTCCAAGTGAAGATTTATTAAATAAAAATATTTTTACCTCTCTATGAAGAGATTTTCACATAATCAGTCACATTCGATAAATTCTTCTATATATAATCACACTTAAAAATTTTTGTTTAAATTATCTGTTAATATATGAATGAAAAAAATGATTTGTAAAAACAAAATAATATTTTTATGTTTAAGTAGAGATAACGTTTTTATTATTTTACTTTGAGCTTCTTTATTAATATCATCTTTTATTGAAATTTACTGCTTTATTTACCGAACAATATAATATAAATATAATTCTATATCATAAAAATAAAAGAGACAGTCGGGAACACTATAAGAAAATTGCGTGGTATCATTTGTTGGATTCATTATCAAGGACATGCTTCCCGCATTCCATCGTCGATCAATATAACTCGCGGACGTAGCGAGAATGTAAGACGCAGTGAAAGTACTGTAATAATGGATAATATCGTCACAGTATCACACTTTATGAAGGTATAGAATTACAGACTGCACGTCTTCGACATCAAAACCGCTGGAATGTGACTTCCGTCAAGTGATTTTTTTTCTATCTGCTACATCGCATGTTCATTGAAATTGCTCTTCTCGAGATTATTGCAAATCATCTTAATATAAAATACCGATAAAGTGGCTTCGTCGAACACTTATCGATGTTTTTTCCAGGTTCAAGGATCTATAGATGATCGCAATAGAGATGTGTATTTTATTGTCATTATTAAATCATTATTTCGCAATGCACAAAATTGATCGATGCGCTCGAAACTTCAAGGTTCTGAGATCTCGAACGCTAACACTGGCAGCGCGAGGAGCTGCATCGTTCGAATTGAAGTGAAAAGAAAGCAATAGAACGAGAACCAGTATAGTGAGCAGGGAATCATTCGAGCGCAATGCAACCCACAAACACAGTGGCGGTTAGGTAGCAAAGTTTCCACCGGAAAATCGAACGCGTTATCCCGTCTATGTGCGTAGATTAAACGAATTATTGTGTCTAGAATAGAACTCGAACATTATGTTTGAACTATAGAAAAATATTATAATGTGCTATGTAAAAAAATTAAATAAACCTCGGGCGAAAATTGATTCAACGCGTGTAATCAGATTTTCGCGCGTTGCACGTTGTGATCTTCTGACCAACCAGCTAACTCTGCCTGTAAACGAGTTATTAAATAAACGTGTTTCATATGATCGCAATTAAACTTCACGTCTATCTAATTTTTAAATAAGAATTCCAATCTCAGGCACGAATAGAGGACGTTGTAAGACACATTGTTCTATATAAGCCTGTGTTATTCTCTAGATACTTAAACAATATTTACATTACATACGGGTGTATTACGTTATAATAACGAACGTCGACAGACCGAAACAGCCACGTTCGCAGTTTAATAAGATTCGTCAGCCTGCGCTCATGTTTCCTCAAATGCTGTAGCAGGGGACGATAGTATTATGCAGACTCTATCTTCGTAGAATCAAATTTATGCTAACGATTCAAAGTGCCTGGATCGAACGAGTGGACAAAGGAAAAGCAGAAAGACGAAGAACGAGAAGTAGAAAAGTCGATCGGAAGAGACGTCGTGGAGATCCTCGCACGATAGTCCGGCGTTCTTGCTCGTTAAATCAAAGTTCTCGTTACTCGTTACCGGCGCGAAGCAAGTAAGTTTGACGAACAACGTGTAATGAACTCGTGAATGAAACAATGTGGAGGACGAGAAACACAAAGAAACTGTTCGTTCGTTCGTGCTCGGCCAATTCGAGACGCGTCGAGACACAGGATGTGAAACCTTTCGACAACATTCCGGGACCGAAATCTTGGCCAATTGTGGGCACACTATATAAATACCTTCCTTTTATCGGTAAGAACAGTGTTTTGTACACAGAGAAAAATTTAAGTTTGTGTAACTGAATTGAAATTAGATAAAAAATTCACTAATAAAAAATATCTTTGTTACCATGATCGAATACTTTCGTTCAGTTGTATTAAAACTTGGTTGAAATAATTGAGAGCAATCGGTTATAATTGATAAAAGATACTTAAACTTACTTGTGAAATCTAAAGTTTATTTCTGTAAAATAAAGTCTATTCCTGTGAAGTAAAGTTTGTTTTCTTCTGCGAATAACTTTTATATCTCACAAATAAATGTTTAAGTATTTTTTCTCAGTATATGAACCTCCCATAAGAATTTTTCTGAGAAAAAAATACTTAAAAATTTACTTGTGAAATATAAACTTTACTCACAGAAGTAAACTTTATTTTACAGGAAAAAAAGAGAGATAAACTTTATATAAAATACAAATAAATCTACAAGTATTTTTTTCAGTGTATAACCGAGTTTGCGTTTTGGTCTCAGATAATAAAAAAATTCAGTTATTAACACACTAGCAAAGTTGCTCTTTCCATGTGGGCATTCAATCATACGAGGGCTCAAATTTGCAGGGAATTTCAATTTGCAGCAATAGCGAAACTCACCGCTTCCGTGATCTTTATTTCTTAGTGACGAGTAAATAAGTTACACTAAGCATGTCTATATTTCAGGCGAATACAATTTCACCAGACTGCATACAACCGGTTTATTAAAACTGAAGCGTTACGGGCCGTTGGTGCGGGAGGAATTAGTACCTGGTGTGACGACAGTGTGGGTGTTCCGACCGGAAGACATCGCAAGTGTTCTGCAAGCCGAAGCGGGGCTTTACCCTGAGAGAAGATCGCACTTAGCTCTTCTCAAATATCGGAAAGACCGAAGTGACATTTACAACACCGGTGGGCTCTTACCCACGTAAGGATTCTCCTCGTGGTTCGTCTATGATCGTACCTCAGGATCTGTAATCGCTTTGAATCGTTTATTATTGGTTCATATTCGCGTGGTCAAAAGTGAGATCATCTTACGTTGATTAAATAGCTTTTTTGGATTCCTTCGCTAATTAAGAGTTGGACAATACGTTACCAGAGATTTTGTTCTTCCTTAGAAATGGCACTGACTGGTGGAGGCTGCGCAAGGAATTTCAAAAAGTCCTCAGCAAACCGCGTAATGTGCTCGAATACTTGGAGGACACCGACGTCGTGGTCCAAGAGTTCGTACAGCTTTGTCAGCAGGAACAGGCCGACGATTTTCTGCCATTATTCTCGCGTCTCTTTCTCGAATGTAAAATTTGATACATAAAATAACAAACTTCCGCGTTTCACGCAAAGGATATTTTCGTTCTTAACACTTATCTTTGTTTCAGTAACATGTCTCGTCGCTTTCGACGAGAGAATGCACAGTTTCTCTGAAGAGGAGAGGCACCCAAATTCAAGAAGTTCGAGGCTTATTAACGCGGCTTTTGAAACTAACAGCGTCACAGTAAAATTAGACAATGGTCCGAGACTTTGGCGATATTTCGAAACGCGATTATACAGGAAACTTCGCAAAGCGCAGAGTTATATGGAAGAGTAAGAAAATTCATAATTCTGAATTACTTTAATTATTAGTTAAATCACGTTTAATTAATTAACGTTAAAATTACTAACTCCATTAGATAGAATTAGTTTTAGTTGTAATCTCCCGTACACAGAATGAGTCAACAATTGTCTTCTGAAGCGACTTATTTACTGATATCAGAAAAAGTTTCACATAAAATATATTGAATTCAATAGAGATCATCAAACAGAAACGTTTCGTTCTTCTCATATCATATTTTCAAAAATCAAAGTATCAAAGTACCCTTGAATTTCTTTCTTAAATGGCATCGTTTTTTAAATACTACGTTGTAGTTGATAAAAATAAGAATTCCATGATTTGCAATAACGTGACTTTCATCCTTAAAACATGCATCCTGTCTTTTAATTTCTGTGTGAAACGATTATATTCTGGATTGTCCACTTCAAGTTTTTTCAGATGTTAATTCAAATAGCAATTGTTGTTGATTCGCCCTATAAACAATTTTCCTCCTCTCCCATATTCTGAATCCGTTTTTTATAAATTTTTAACTATATATGTAAATATCGTTGGTACTATAGAGTAGTGCTGCAAATGGTGTCCCAGAGAAATCAGAGTACATCGATACGTCGCAAGAAATCTCTCCTCGAGGAGTACTTGAAAAACGAGGCGTTAGATATCAAAGACATCATTGGCATGTCGTGCGATATGTTGCTCGCCGGTGTGGATACCGTAAGTATCTTCAAATGGTATTCGAACGCATGACACTCGGTCAATCGTGTCAGCACGCGACTAGCACGGTCAAACAAGTGCAGATTTTTTTACATTTCAGACGACGTATAGCACATCGTCAGCCTTATATCACCTTGCATGTAATCCCGATCAGCAGGATAAACTGAGGTGTGAGGCTACCGATTTATTGGTTGATCCTGATTCCCCAATAACGGCAGATGTCTTGAACAACGCCGTGTACACGAAAGCTGTAATAAAGGAAACGTTCCGCATGAATCCCATTTCCGTCGGGATTGGTCGTATCCTGCAGACCGACGTGGTTCTCAGCGGATATCACGTACCTCGAGGCGTAATTAATAAATTATCATTCGTTCGCTAGGCCGTCTCGAAAGTATAGTGCAAAGCTCTGAGGCTTGTATCAATAGTTGTCACCTGAAACTTGTTTCATGTGAAATTACTCAGATTTCCATTCAGAGTTAGATCCAAGTTTTTCACTTGAATTACATAATATATATGATATTATATTTGTAATTGTGACTCAACTAAAAAACTCTTATCTAACTTTGAGCTTAAATCTGAATATCTCACTTGTGACGATTTCAAGTAACAACTATTAATACAGATAGGATCTGAAAATCTTAAAAACCTGAAAACATTTCAGACTGTGGTCGTAACGCAAAATCAGGTGACATGCCGACTGCCCGAATATTTCAACGAGCCGAACTCCTTTATGCCGGAACGGTGGCTACGATCGAAAGACAGAACAATAAAGGAAAATATAAACCCGTATCTGGTATTGCCGTTCGGACATGGGCCGCGATCGTGCATCGCGAGACGATTCGCAGAGCAAAATATACAAGTTTTACTACTTCGAGTAAGTACTTGAGGAATACATAGAGACTGCAGAGATATGATAAACAAACTTATCATTAGTGATTTCGTAAGTGATTGCATAATAATGTTGTAGATGTGCAGAAATTTGCGTTTCACCTGGTGCGGCGGTATTCTTGATGTGCAGTCTTTACTGATCAACAAACCCGATGCACCTATTAAACTGAAATTTAAGAGCGTAAGCGCGTAGAAAAAATCAAATCGCTAATTTGATCGACTTTAATGTGAAAAGCTTGTATATCAAGGTGAATTTGAACTTTTCAAGTAAAAACATATATTTTTTCTAAATACTAGGTTGTGTATATATATAATGTTCTTTAAATATTATATTGTTGCAAATAAAATACGAATTTAGTAGCTTGTAACAATGTAACCTTTGTTTTTAAAACGTATTGTTTTAATTTCTGTGCTTGTAAGACAACTACAATTTAAAATACTAATAACGGTCAGGTCAGTGTGGTTATAAATAATTCGTTTCAAATTTTTACAAATTATCTCATATGATCATTATTATTGATTCACCTTGTATACAGCTTCTGTCTTATTATAATTTAATCGCAATTTGCTACCGGATAAACAGAAAACAACATTTATTATTTTACTGCTTGAAGACACTGACTTGCTTTCTGATTTATCTTCCAATTGATAGAAATAATAACACCTAAGTCTTATCTAATGATAACTTAGCGAAGAAAATCGAAATGATCGCGCAATGCGCTCTAATTGTAAGTCATGTACTTGGGTGTTGCGGAGAATTTAGCGTACGACTTGATGACCTTGTTGACCGCCTCGAGGAAATCCTTCTCCGTGGCGACTTTGCGGCGCGCGCGAATCGCGAACATACCAGCCTCGGTACAGACAGAACGTATTTCGGCGCCAGTACTATTCGGACAAAGGCGTGCAAGCAATTCAAATCTGATGTCCCTCTCGACGCTCATCGAGCGCGCGTGGATCTTGAAGATATGTGTGCGTCCCTCAAGATCCGGCAGGCCGAATTCGATTTTCCTATCGAGACGGCCCGGCCGCATCAGCGCAGGATCCAAGGTGTCCGGTCTGTTTGTCGCCATCAGGACCTTTATGTTGCCGCGTGGATCAAATCTGAAACGTGAAGACAAAATAAAATAACGATGGAGGTATTACGAATTGCGAAATAGGTCGACTCAGTGGCAGCTGAAAATAAATAAGAAATAAATGAAATAATCGCTCTCACCCATCTAACTGATTGATCAACTCGAGCATAGTCCTTTGCACTTCGTTATCGCCGCCCGCGCCATCGTCGAAACGTGCACCGCCGATCGCATCAATCTCATCGAAGAATATCAAGCACGCTTTTTTACTACGCGCCATTTCAAACAGTTCTCTGACCATTCGGGCACCCTATTCAAATAGACGCATATTATATGCGTCGTCTGACCAAGATCATTTGAATCTCGACATGCCTGACTTACTCACCTCACCAACATATTTCTGCACCAATTCTGAGCCGATCACACGTATGAAACAGGCATCCGTTCTGTTAGCCACCGCTCTGGCGCACAGGGTCTTCCCTGTACCTGGTGGTCCAAACAATAGAACTCCTTTCGGTGGCTCGATGCCCAAATTGACGAATTTTTCTGGCTGCAATCAATTCTTTACTACTTTATGTCCCTTTTATGACAACTTAAGGACAGAAACATTTCTCATGTATCAAAAAATCAATCTTTTTATTGTATATTTTGAAAATATATACTTTTAAGTACGTTCCCCTAATTTGCATGAAGAGATTTAAAAAATTGGCGAAGTTATAGCCAAGATTATCTAAGTCAGTGCATAGGTTGGTGGTAAAACGCTCGATTTTCTTTCGAAATTACAACAATCGAAGTAATAACTTGCTTGCCTGATCTGATTTAAGAAAAGTGTTTCCTAAAAGTGAAATCTTACTTGATATATTTTGTATTTGATTAAGTATTTGTTTTAAAGTGTGCTATAGATTCTATAGCGTGTCTGGATTAAAGAGTCCGACCGATCATGTACACGTAGAACTCGTTAAACTGAATAGAGAAATCATTACACTACCACGTAAATTTTCGAGATATTAACGAAAGAAAATTGGTCAACGAACGCACGTGTCGAAGAACGAACTCTGTAGGTAATGTGCATAAGTGCTCGAAATTTATCCATATCATGTATGCAAAACTTTGAACATATTTTTCTTGAAAAGATATTTTTACAATTAGCCCCCATTTTAAATATATGCTTCTCTCTCTCTCTCACACAGTTCTTGTAAGAAGAATTTACGAGAAAGACCTGTAATTTTGACCTATGAAAGTTATCCCCTAAAAAATACTAGGATTATATACTAACGTGTAACAATGGTGTTTCGACGACTTCTCGTAACTTCTCAATTTGTTCCTTGCAGCCACCGACGTCGCTGTAGGTGACGTCGGGCTTCTCCTCTACTTGCATCATTGTCACGGTCGGGTCGATTTTAGATGGTAACGGGATATGAATCTGGTACTTGTTACGATCCACTCCCACTCTCATGCCTTCCTCTATATCAGTAGGTGCCACGGAATCCGCCAAATCAACCACAAACTTTGCAAATTGCTTCACATTTATTATGTACTTTGGATCATCAGAATCCGCGTTTATGATTTTAGTACAACGTGCCACTTGGAGAGGTTGTTCATTCTGTAAAGTCTGCTTGTCTGCAGCCAAATCCCAAAGTGCTGGTGGTGCTAGACCAGTATCCGACTCTTTAATCCCAGTTAGTTCATTCACACGCTTGATGATTGTCTGAATATCCTCTTCAACGGCCTTAATGCATTTTGTATATTGTCCTTGACCCTATAACACCAATTTAAAGTGACTTTACCATCTCCTAGTCACTAAAGTAATTTTAGTCCTTTACTATCATTGATAACGCAAAATATAATGTATACTCATTAGTATCATATGATTTTATTTCTTTGCTATCGTTGGCAATATAAATTATGAAGTATGTCCATTGTATGATGTTTGAATGTATAAGTATAATAGTATACGAATATAACAATGTTTAATTAGAAGAAAAAGAATTAAAATGAAGATAATTTCAGATATGACATGACAATTGTTCAGTGAATCTACATTCATTTCTGAGTCATCAGTTTTGCATTATAATGTCTTTAATATTGAATGTTGAACTCACATAAGTCTTCAATAAAGCGATATCACCTTCATCCAATGCTGAAAATTTAAAAGAACAAATCTTAGAAAGCATAAATATGTGGTGACATTTCTAACCAAGGGAACCGCCAAACATTAAGAAAACTCACATTTTATCTCTTTTTCTTCCTTCTCCTCCTCATTCTTCACTTTTCGCATATCTTCTCCTAAATGGTCCGGCATTTTTGCACTTATTAAATCGTCTTAATTATCCGCACCACACTCTTTGTTTCGTGTACTACTCGCCAAGCTGACGTTCTTGACTCTGCATGAAATAATGTTAGGTTAGGTTTCACTTCAATTACAAGCGAAATCGACAGTGGAAGGTAGAGATGGAGAATGTGCGATGATAAATAGAATCAAGATTTTACTTTCTTTTTTGTTAAATAACATTATTTTTTTAGTGTTTCCAAACATAAACAGAATTCCGTTGAATCTTAACATTGATAATATTTGTTAAATCAATATTACTGAACTTTATTAAATTAATTAATTTATAATAAGATAGTTTACTGTTAAATTAGGTTTGTTCTTTTTAGCTGCACTGGGATTATTTTTAATGATTAACAAAAGTGAAATTTTAATTGTTAAAGACAAAGGCTGTAATTTTGTATAGAATGACGATTCCAGAAACATTTTACAATTTGGTATTTCCAATATTTTGATAAAAATATCAAATTAATTTATATTTTGTGTTATTAAATATAACTCCAGCTTTATTGGATGTTAATTTTTATAAAGTGTCAAGTTATATATTGTGTGAAAGAAAATTATATATAAATAAGGTTTAAATGATTTAAAAGCGTGAATTTTCCTTTTTAATTTGCATGCTAGTAGAATTACGTGATTTCTTTTTAATTTACTTAAAAAGAAAAAAGCCTTATAGCTCCTGCACACAGGACACGGTAATGCTTGCCGCGCGGCGAAATTTCGCGCGACAGCCAATCAATATGCTGCTTTCCGTAATAACCTTATAGCTTTTACGGAAAAACAACATATTGATTGGCTGTCGCGCGGATTTCTGCCGCGCGACAAGCATTACCGCGTCCTGTGTGCAGGAGCCATAAGAAATTGACCAATCACAGTCGATTATTCTGCTCAAATTTGACTGTGATTAGTCAATTTCTTAAGGCTTAAAGCTTACTACACCTATTGTGGATCGGGACTAACGGATCTAAATATTATAAAAGTACTTTTTCATTTAAAGTGTTTTGCTTCTCATTTGCTTCTTTACGCTACGCTCTTACTTGGAAAAGAGACGGAAGCTGTCCTACTATTGTCTGCCTCTTACTCTACATCTGTTCCTACCCCCACCACCTCATTTAGCAGTCCATTCTATAAGATAAATGTACCAATGCCCGGACATGTACCAATCTCCGGACATTGTTATTATTTTTATATTTGAGTATGAATATTTCAATTTTCAACGTACGATACATACATATTGTTATACATACATTTAATATTTATATTTAGTGTACGTTGAAAGATGAAATATTAGAGAAATATTCAAAATAATAAGAGTGTCCGGAATTAAGTACATGTCCGGGCATTGGAACATTTACCTTCTGTCGATGTTTCATACTGGATTGCTTGATGGAAATACTCTGTTTTAATTGGTGCATTAGCATCTATCTTCAGAAACACACTAATCAGAACAGAGTATTTCCATTCAGCAAGCAATCCAGCACGAAAACAAGCCGGTGTGCCGTTGGCTTTACCCTTACGAAAAAATCTCCAATTTTATTAACACAAATTTAGGTGTTTATCCCCAGTTTTTGGGTGTTTACACCCAAAATTGAGAGTTTTTCGTATTTTTTTCGTAAGGGTAATTAATAGCGTGTTCGACTGACCCTGGGTTAATCGCTCCGAGAGCGATTAATGATGTTATAAGTCTCTACTAGCCAATCATAAAGCTTATAAGTACTTGTTCGACCAATAAACGTAGGCTGAATAACCTAAAGTGGGTTAACCCAGAGCCAGTAGAACATGCCATAAAGTTGATAGAAACAGATTAACCAGAACAAGCTTTTAGAAAACACCGCTAGATGGCGCTAGGTGGTCATTATTCTCCCATTAAAAATTGATATGGAGGGTGCGTTCACGGAGACGCTATTTAGCGCTACCGCATCATTCTATCTTTGTTGTACATATAAAGAGCAATAAAAATAAAACGACGCAGTAACGCCAAATAGCGTCTCCGTGAACGCACTCTACGAAAATAGTGATTGAATGAAAACTCAATGTCATTAAAATATTCTTTTGAATTTATGAACCTAAAAGTATATTTCACTAAAAAATAATTACTAATCGCTTCATTCCAACTACTGAACGCAACTACTGAGATAATTTTTTATAGAATAGATTTAGAAGAATATTCTAATGATATGAAAAGAGCTTTCTCTATTCTATTTTCTAAGTACCAATTTTCTAAATACCAATTAGGCCAATTAGAAGAATAAGAAGAAAGGCACCATTTTGATATTTAGAGTTGAGATATTATATATATATATATATATTGAGAGAGAATTATAATTTCTTATTGAACGATGTAACTGTCATATAACACATCCCAGACAGCACAATATCCAAAATTGAGTCATAAGACGTCTTTAAAACATCTTTAAGACATCTTTAAAACAAGTTTATAAAGTCCCATACAGCACAGATCTTGCAGCAATATTGTTGCTACGTTGCAGGAATGTTAAAAGTTGTAGCAGTGTTGCTACAAGATCTGTGCTGTATGGGGTATTTTCTTAAAAATGTCTTATGACTCGATTTTGAACATTTGTGCTGTCTGGGACGTGTTATGTGGCATTTATATTGTTGAATGGAAAATTATGACATTAATGTTATGTTACTGATAGTTAGTGTTTCCTGGGCAGTAACGTAAAAAGATTTCACGTAAAAAGAATGATTAAACGTTAATCATGTGCATTATGTAATTTTACGTAATACATATACCTGCGAGATTATTATATAAGAAGACGTTGAACTTTCCGAGAAGCGTGCTCATCGCGACTTCAAAGTACATTTGATTTTTACAAAAGAACCTAATCCGATTAAAGTGGTCATACGCAACCTAACCTTTACACATCCATTGAGTGCATTCTCTTCTGGACATCATTGTTCACATTATGTTGACTAAAGGATTGTATAATTTTATTTCGGCGGTTAGTTCATGTTAAGAGTCTGCAAGAGTCATAGTAGAGACCTCTGACGAAGACCCCGAAACTAACATTGGTATTTTATCAAATTTTAAGCAAACCACAGAAAAAATCGCAATAACAATGTGATATTTATAATCAAGATAATAACCCGAAAGGTGCTATAAAACGTTTTTTGGAGAAAAATTAAAATAAATATCAAATAAATTATTTGAATGAACGTCCGGTGCGCGGATGGACATTCCGCGGCACAAGCAAGGTTTCGACATTAGATTTGGCTTTGAAATTCGCGTTTGTGCGGCGCTTGTTTTCACGTCGGCGCAGTTTGTTTCTAAAGTAAGATAAACAACCGCGTAGGTTAAGTTCGTCTTGCACGTTGAAAATATCTTTCGTGCTGAAAACAATTTTATCTTTACCGCCCATTACATGCCGAAAGAAAATAAAATGACGCTTTCAGCACGAAAACGTGCAAGGCAAATTTATCCGCTGTGAGTGAGTGGGCAGCACTATGCTTATTAACATCATTATAACCCTATCATTATGATCAGTGTTACTTATGCGTTTTCAATTTCAAGTATTATGTGGAAGGTTCAAAATTGTATAACCCTCGATTCAGTAAATGTTCAGACATCGTTGTGTATATATACATAGTTGGTTACGGTGATAACGTTAAAACGATCTAAAACACGAATCGATCCCAGACAGCACAAATGTCCAAAATCTAGTCATAAGACGTCTTTAAGACATCTTTAAGATAATACTTTATAAACTTGCTTTAAGATGTCTTAAAAATATTTTAAAAAAGTCTTTTAACCCGATTTTGGACAGTATGTTGTCTGAAAATACAATAATTTCACTTGTAGACGTCGTAGCAATTTGTTAAGAAAGAAGAAATTACCGCGCCTCCGGTGAATGTAAATTTGTCCTTCTGTAAAATAAGGATCAAATAGTATAAGTATAAAAAACATCGGTGTTTTCGTGTTTGGTTTAAAGTGGATATTCAGACATAGTATAGATTTAAGGCTACTCATCGCGGTATTGAATTGTGAAGCGAGAAATGACACAAAAATTCTCGCGTGTTATTTTTGAACGAAAAGATATTTGTATATGAAAGAACACTTTAGATTGCTTGAGCATATAAGTAAAATGTCGCGAAAACTATCCTTTTCCATTAATAGTCAATAAGAAGTAAAATGAGCGTGGCAAAAAGCAAGGTGAACCGTTGTAAAGAGGAAGATTTTTATACAAATCTTACAGGTATTTTAGGCCAGTATTCATAGTTGAATCTTATTTCAAGACTGTCTTAAGTTATGTCTTAAGATGCAAATACGGCTCTAATTAGTTCATGACATCTTAAAACAATATTTAAGATTATCTTAAATATAAGATCGGACTATGAATACCGGCCATACAGGGGTATCTTATAGGTTTCACACAAATATTTTTTTATTTAGAAATGGCATGTAAGAGTTTTGGACATGCGTTTTTTCGCTTCTGATATTATCAATCCAGAATTCCGCAACAAGAATCTAGGAGTTTTAAACCGGTTTTCGGGAAATTGGTGCTCGTTTAGATGATTTAAACACAATTGACTTTTATCGTTCTATATTTTTTCATTATTCTTTTTTTTTTTCCTTGAAAATTGTTCGATAGGCACGAGTTATCAAAGAGTCGTCGTCATAAAGAATCTTTTTGCATCAAGGTATTTTAAAGAAGAAATCAAGCTGCTTTCGTAATATCAGCAGGAATTTGATCCAAGTGCTTGAAGTGCGGTGACACGAGAAATTTACAGTAAGTACGAAAGAGACATCGGTTTTCGTGTCTGCATTAAAGAGTGAACATTAATTACTTTGACAGACTGATGTACTTTTATATATAGCGATAAATTTTACAGTAATTTTAAGAGCTGATTTTTTCATCCTCTTGGTAAGCTAACAGTTAAATCATAATCTGTACTTTTTCTTGAACTTGTTTTTCTTGAAATTTTTTTTGAAGTTTTTCTTGAAATAGACAAAGACGTATAATCTAACTATTAGTTAGCAAGATATTGGAAAAATTAACCTTAAATATATTGAATTAAAATACAATAATGTTTCTTATGACAAGTCAAATTTGTATTTATATTTATCATACAGAATAACCGAATAGAAATACGAAAGAAATACAAAGAAAATGATCAAAATTCCAAATAATGTCATGTTAATATGAAAATCTCTGAATGTAACTTTTAGTAAATTTGTTACTGCATTAACATAACAAAAAAATTGATATTATTGCATGATGTGAAAATTTAATAA